CGCCGAGAAATCGCGCGGAAACAAAATGTCCGCACATGCACGCCTAATCTCGTCACAATAACGCGCATCGTTGACTTCGTTCGTCGTGCCATTCGTCTTCCGGCAATACGTTCCTTTTTGTACTTGCTTGTTTTTCGTGGCCGCCTCATGTATCATAACACGACGGCAGCGACGCCGTCACGATAGCGAAATGAAAACGAAGCACAAGCTAAAACCAAACACGTCCAAAGCTCAAGACGAAAAAAGTTAGATAAACGAGGAGAAGGAAACTGCAAGTAAACGAGAAGGCACTAAGATGGAAGAATATTGTTGTCACACACGTGTTATGTACATAAATACAGCTCAACGTCGTCGGCGTCGACGTGCAAGCAGCACCAGCGCAAGAAAAGCAACAAAACCCGGGTGCGTCGAGGAATTTCCCGCAGCAGTTTCGCATCCAACGCGCATCCACGTGACAAGCCGGCACGACACGACTGCAAATATCAACCATAAAGAATGTTTGTTGTGGTCGCTGGAAATCGGAAAAACACAACGTGAGACGACAACGAACAGAATACAAAGTACAAAACGTAGAAAAAATGAAACAAATTTTCAGACACATATAATTCGTGTCTGATGGAATTAAATAATTAGATTTTTTTTACGGTTGACTTTTTCGGCATTTCGCATTTGCACATTGCAGCTTTGTGCCTGGATGGATGTAATGCAGGTCTCTAACGACATCAAAAACCAATTGCGATGCAAATTTGGCCGCTGCCAGCCTGCATCCGGCCGCACTCCACTCGCCACTCAGCCGTGCAACGCTCGTGATCCACTTCCCCGCGAGCTTTTGGTCCTTTGGTCTTTGCGCAGCTCATTTCCTAGCTAGCTTTTGCCCGCCTCCTACAACTGACGGTCGGTTGTTGCCCTGTCACCCTTTGCAACCCTAGTGCGCAATTCGTTTAGAGTTCTGATCACATAAGTTTCGCAACTGATACGCAAATGCATGCGCACCACTTTATGACCAAGCATAAAATATTTTGCTTTACTATTCGCGACATGTCGTTGCATAAATCATGTCGAACGAGGCGTTTTAGTGTCAATAATATCTTAACCAACAGATCGGCAGTTCATTAGATTTGGAAATTCTTCCGGAATTTGTGTTTTTAAGAGAATTTGATCATATAATCCAATTTTCATTTGATAAAAACCAAACACCCATTAAATAAAAATGTCGTTATGCACATCGCCGAGAAAATAAAAAATAAAAATTGTAATATATGCATGTACATAAACGCGAAGAGGCAATAAAAATGAAAATTTAATGCCCGCCACCGTCATAGACTACGCAGACGAAATAATGAAAATGATGATTAAATCTAATAAAAGTGAAAAAATATCTCGCCCATTTATTATCCAATATTCTGTGCGCAATTTCATGCGCTAGTTTTTTACGAGATAGTTAAAAACGCAAATTTTAATGATAAAAACATGTTTTAAAAATTGGAAAAAGCATGCATGGCGTAAAATTTGTTCATTGCTTAATTCACAATAAAAAATGCTTCATTAGAATCTCAGCCCCGGCGGAATGTGAACAGCTTTTTAAAGTGTAAAGCATTGAAAATTGCTTTATAAGTTGTTAATGGTTTCAAGTGAAAAGTTCGCAAATGCACCGAGTAAGTGAAAATTCATGTACTTTCATGCTGTGCTTCCAACTTTCTCATTGTCACTCACGTCACGTCAATCTTATCAATGTTAAAATATCCAAAAACAGTCGAAAGGTTTTGCGAATGCAAAATTTAATTAATAATTGTGCAATATTCAATAATAGCAATTATTGACATATCACACCAGAATAAATTTGACACTGATATTCATCCATAATGCATGAAAAAGCAGATGTCATTAATCTTATTGTGTTCCAATAATTGAATATGCTAGAACCAGTCATCCTGTATATTATGTAAAAGCTTTTATAGTTATCTACTTTTTTCTATAATAAAAATAAAATTGCATAGTAAGTTAAAAACCATGTGCAGTTTTGTTTGGAACCTTTTTGTACGATATATTTTACCTATGGCTATTATAATGTGCCCCGACGCATACTTTTTGCCCATAAAATAGTAAATAGATTTCGCGTTTAGATAAGCTGCGCACACACGTCCATCCAGGCGCATAAAATTGCTCGATTTATAACACAACACACGCAAAGTCCGAAAGCCGGAGAGCGAGCACGCCGATGTGGAAAATTCACGTGAAATTCTATAATATACACAATTGTATATAAATCCCACCCTTAACTATATTACATAAACATATACAAAGTGTTTAAGCAATCCAAATCCAATTAATTTAAATAACAGTTTTCTTATTTAATTTTTTTGATTTGTGCTATAAATTTTGAGGTAAAATTAATTTTAAAATAATAACAATTAATAGATAGATGTATACAAAAAAAGTAAATGCATATTCATGGCATTAGACGATGTATAAAAAAATCGATTGACGCTATCGCGAGTTTGTTACATCCTCCTCTCAAAAAAACCCGGTCAGCGAGTCAATGGTTTACCCTTTGCAGACCCAAATCACCCCGTAATAACCATACATATTTCGACACACATTTTCATAATATCTGGTTTTCCGGTTTCTACTGCCCCGTTTGTTTTGTAGCTAAATAATTTGAAACCTGTAAATTTTTGTGCAAATACATAAAAAAATTAAAAAATTAAACAACACTCGGTAGAAAATTCATAGTTATGATATCGGTAGAGCCGAGCATCAATTAAACACGCGCAAGAGTGCGGTTCGACGTTCACGTCCCACGTTTATCTGTTTAGTTAATTTAAGACGCGTTTCATTAGGCAGATCATCGTATGGCTGCGAACGCCCGATAGCGCTGCCGCCACCGCCGCCGCTACTACTTGCCTCCGCCGGAAATGCTTGCGGTCGCGCCGCGAGACCCAGATGTGCTTAGCGAAACCTAGTTGCGATGCATTAAGTAATAAACAACGAAATGTGCAAGGAAACCGGGAAACTCTAGTAAATATAGCAACTTGCAAGCACTACTCGCGCGCAAGTTTAGCACGGTAAACGCAAATAATAGCGAGCATTCGCCCGCATCACCAAGTTGTAAACAGGCGATAGAGATGTTGAAGACGTGCAAACTTTGTCGAATTTAATTATTAATTAACGCCTACACACAACATGCGATTTTATTTTAAATATGTACATATAAAGTATTATGTGGAGGCGCTGAGCAATGGCAAATTATATTATGATAAAGGTAATCTTTGGTTCATGCAAAATTCAGCAGATTTTTCAAAGAGAAGATAACAATTATCTGGAATAACTTTGGAAGTTACTTTGCGTTCTTGGAATTTTTTTGGTTATCTTTTTCAATGGATTTGGGTTTTCCTACTCAATTTCCCAGCTCCCCATTGACCCATTTTCAAATCTAACATGATTATTATGTAATGCTACACAGATTTTCCCGTAATAATGTTGCGTGGGACTGTGGGATGGCTGGAGGAGAAAAAGAGGCACGAAAAAATGCAAAGCGGGAAATTCCAGGACTGCGAAAGCCCGGCGGGCCTTCAACGGCGTGCTTTGCGTGTCTTGCCAAGCAGGAATAGATAGGGATTCGCATTTTAGTCTTAAGAGAGCAATGATGATACGTGCACAAAATAACTACTCGTATCATAATATAACATACTGAAATTTCTCACAGAATTTTTAAAATCCTGTAAAAATACGTGAAAAGTTCGATAGAAAGCAATTCTTCCGCGTTTCGAGAAATGTTTTTTTAGCGACTTAAAAATATACTTTTAGCACTTTCATGGTTATTAAACCAGCTGTATAAAAATCGACTCTGGTCTATATAACCATCGACCGAAATTCAACCTATAAGGGTTTTCCCTCGGGTTCAACTTTCCAGATGAAACTACTCGGGTGTACGGGAGCTTGGCGCTGCATTCAGCTTCCACAAGACGCAACAATTCCGCCGAGGGATGGCCGAAGTCGGCAGTCGGTGCAATATGGAATCGCGGCACACAATGTAATTGTGGAACACTGCCGGCAACAAAGGCGAAATTCTCGCGTCCGAAAGTCCGCTAATTAAAAAAAGGCCCCGACTCACTCGCCAGCACATACACACACGTAGAAAATGCCAGCTGGAGCAAGAACAACTTTGCAGCCGAAAAGAAATGGATAAGATAAACATTTGGCAAAGTAATGAAAACTCTGCACGCAAAAGGTGCTGAAACTTGCTGGAAACTTACGCAAGATTAAGGAAAATATAAAAGAATTAAACGAAAAATACAAAGAGAACTAACGAACAAATACAAAGGGTGATAGCACAAAACGTAGGAAACAAAGAGTGAAATAATTTAATTAAAGCAGGTGTATCACACTAAACATAAGAATTTCTTTTATCAAAACTAAAGAATATTAAAATTTACTCAAGAGTAAAAATATAAATAAGGCATAATCTAAGAATAAATGAGAGAAAAACAATTTTAATTAACTTTTATCGCCATTACCCCATCGTTCCATCATAAACTCGCCATGCCAGCGAAACCGAATTCGCTGCCAGCGTAGAAAGCAACACCAAACGCGACGCTTATCATTTTTATCTATACACCCCGTGCGCCGAATGCGGAACATGTTTCCTAATCATCTTTATCTTAATCTTCATTTCGTTTCTCCCCCCGGTGGTGGAAACGAGCCCTTTAACGCGCCCAAACTTTCCACTGTACTCATTTTTTTTTCGTTAATCCTTTGAGGCGCGGCGCGTATAATCAACAAAAACAAAAAAAAGCGGAAACTTTTTCTTTCGTTGATAATGATGTTTGCTCAAGTGATTTTGTCCTGGTTTGCTTTTATTTCCCAGATCTTAACTTTTAATTTTTTTTTGTTACATTCACTCGTGATGCGACTTCTTTTGATTTTAACTGAGAAAGTTTTACATGTCGCTTTGTTGTTGTTGCAAAGATAAACACAGGCATATAAAAAAGAAAACTTACCTTTTATGATGAGGAAAAAAACGAAGGCTTTCAGTGCTGTCCCCATTATCTCTGCTTTGATGTATGATGACAAGGAAAACCTGAAAAATAAATATTTTATATAAATATTAATCACATTAACATTCACTGCAGGAAAATTTACGCATGTGAAAAAGAAGCAGTAAATATTTCACATATTTCGAAAAGTTTTCCGCTCGCTAAATTCGACTTTTATATTAGTTGTCGTTTATTTATAACAAACTTTTGCCCATTTTTATTCGAAGTGAAGTGAAGGAGACGCGAAACTAAACCAACATAAATTCCTATTTTTGGAAACGCTTCGCGCAAAGTTGACGCTTTAAGTTTCGTCCATTCTGGAAAGAAAATCTAGGACGTTCTCTACCTTCGCTGTTCCTAACATTTCCAAATCGTAAAAATATAAAACGTCGAATAAAATACAGGCCGGGGCATTACAATGCATGGGCATAAATAAAATACCATAAAAGAGCGGCGCAAGTCGCACAACAAAAAGAATACGGAATAAGAATGAGAATCCGAATAGAAGTAAGAAAAGTAAAATCCAATGCGGGCGCAAAGATGAAAAACATGTTGAATTGACTCCGCATTTCGCTTTCGAGCCCGCTACACAGAACCATAACCAGAACGAGAAGCTGAATATAGAAAATCCCAGTAAATAGAGCCACAATAAAAAAAAAGAACGCGGACGGCGAAAAGAAGAAAAGTTTAGGACGTGATTTAGTGGGCTTCGAAGAGTCCTCAAAGTGTGCGGCCAGCGGTTTGAGGAAAACCGATATTAGTAAGCTATAAAATCGCCGAAAAATGTAAAATAACCTTCCGCGGTCTACCAAACAAACTAAAAACTTTCGTTTACCAAAAAAGATGCTTCCTTAATGTCTAGCCCATAAAATAAATGAGGCGTAGCAGTATTATAACTTCGTATAAATCAATAAATAATAAATTAATCAAATTTAGATATTTTTGTAAAATATATTTTCTTTATAGTTTCATAAATCTATATTTAAAAGAGAATTCTTTATGGATTCATTTCCGTTTGTGCACTTTTCTTAAGTGGCTCATCTCGGCTTTCGAATTTTTAGTTGCTACTTTCTGCAACAGCAGATGCAAACTGCAGTCGGAGTCTAATTTCCTTCATTTTAATTTTTTGCTTCTGATGCTACTGAATAAAAACAAATTTGATAAAATATAAATAACTTACTTAAAAATCACTTTCATGGAAATATACTGGTGGAACAATTTGAGAATGTCGGCAAATGTAGAGAAAGTAATGGAACTCCGGTGGAAAACGGTAGAAAGACTTAGAAGGCGTTGTGGAAAACGGTAGAAACTATGAAAGGTGGAATCCCACCAGCTTCCAGAAGACAAGCGAGCTGGTTACGACGATTGAGCGACGAGTTCGATAAATTCCGCCGTCTTAATCAGACCTATTCTCCGGTTCTCTCCAGGCGCGCATTTCAGCCCCCCGGCTGCCGCCTCCACAGCAAAACTGCTCTCATTATACGCTCGATTCGAGCGCTGACTGGCGTACGTGAGACGCTCGCTTCGACGTTCTTAATCTTCGCAATCCTAACGAAAGTTCCAATTCGAAATTCTACGGAAAACACCCGAAATGAAGCACCAGAAAAATAAAAATAATTAGAGACATTAGACTAAATGCAAAATGAATTAATTAAAAAAAGTGTCCAAATTTTCATTTTTTGATAAAGTTTAGTTAAAGTTTACTATTAGAAAGATTTGGAATCTTTAAATTGGTTTCCGATCGTGTCACTGCAAAACTTTGCTCACACGGCGTAAAACTCGTAAATCCTTTCGTCTTCGACTAGCGTTGAAAGCTCAGCGCCCCCAAAGCGCAGAAAATGAAACAACTAGCAAAATGGCATCGACACCACGGGAAAAGAAAGATTTACACGACTGATGCGCCAATGTCAAACGGCTATACCAGATAAATCTTTCTGCAGCTTTTCGAGATTTCACAGATAACCAAATGCAATGTTGAAAAATCAATAAAGTAAAATCACTGGCTTGTTAAATCACACACAAAAAAACACAAGCAAACAAATTCGAATGGTTGTCTCTCGCATGTTCATAATATCCGGCGTAATTTCCACAATGAATATTCGCATATTTTACATTTCGCCGTTTTGATGTCAACACAAGCCGTGATAAACAGCGTTTGAACGTTCAAACGTCCGTGATCTATCTGCTCTTCGGCTTCGCACCTCCGCTTGCGGTGCCGCCGCTCGGAATAATGAAAAACGCGGCCTCACGCAATCGATGAAATTATCCTCCCGTGCGATTTTTTTTGCGGCACGCAGAAACGATTTGACCCGCACGAGCAGCGAAAATAACAGCGCGCGTGGCGGCATCGACGTGGAATCGGCGGTGATAAATGGCGAACGAGCGGATTTCCAAACGGGCGCTTTTTGGAAATATTAAAAAAACGTTTGTTTACCATTTGTCGCTATCGTCGTTCGGCATACTGAACGCACCCGATGAATATTGCATGGGGGCGATGATTTAAATTAGCATCATTGAGTTACATTTGTTTTCGCGGAAAATAAACATGAAGAAGTGAGCAAAAGTTAAAAAGTAATGTTCACAAGCGAAATAATGGTTCACAGAGAATCAATCTACATTATATATTATACTAATCAAAACTGATACAAAGTAAAAATGTGTAGGTATTGCCTGGAATTTTAGCTTGATAAACAATATTTCGGCAGTAAATGTTCAAGTATATAAATAATATTCGAAATTTTTACCATATTTTTGGCCACAGAACGAAATTTGTGCACGTGCGTGCCATTTGTTAGAACTTCCCCGCAATGTGCAACAAAAGCAAGCATCAAAGGAAAGCTACGCGCGTAAAGCGTTCCAACCATCGATGGAAAGCCGTAAAAATGTGTGGAATATTGGAAAATACCACGCCATCCACGCATTCGCACGTATCGTCGTCAAAAACGAAAAAAAAAACACACACACACAAAACTCAAGCGAGAAAAAAAAACGCAAAGAAAAATGCTCATGGATTTTATCCAGATACACAAATGAGCTCAGTTCGATATGCTCGCAATGGATATGCGTGCGTATATTACTGCTTACTGATATCCCCCTATCGCATAAAAGATATTCATATGTATATACCTTTAGCGGAGCGCAGCAGCCGCAGAACTTGCGGTTTGTGGCATTTTTCGCGTTTTTTTTCTTTATTTCGCCATTTTGCGGCTTCGCTCGTTTGGATGGCGGTGTTTTTTTTTCTGAATTCCTGCGTGCCTGCATGGTGCAATTCAACGGGCGGTAAAATAGGGAAGCCCGACGCGACGTGTTCTTTTCATACTCGATGGTGTTTTTTCGGGTTCTTTTTTGCATATATTCGAACGTTATCGATAGCATATCCAGCGGAGAGAAGCCCAAAAACCGAAAAAGACTAAGAGGAGTCTGTATAAAATTGCTTTCATAATAAATTCATTCCAGGTATATCACAAGTAAAACATAGCCTTAGAATATGCTAAGAATGTGAATTAATTTTACGTAGGTATTACAAAGTGCTTTCAACATTCAAAGATTCACAAAAGAATAGATAAAGTTATCAGAGCATAAAGCAACACTTTATATTCAAAAACAAATAATACTTCTTGTCAATTTAAATTAATGACAATCTATAGAAACAGTTCAGATCAAGTAATGATAATACACATTTCTTGCTTGGTGTATTGTAAAGTCTAGATGATCGCCCAGCGTAGAAATTCCAAGCAAAGATGATTTTAGAACGTGATGTGAACGCACAGCCCGACGATACAAAGTGCGCGATGTTATTATACCGACCAAGTGGATGCCACATCCTAGCCAAGCATCTAGTGCGGCATGCAAAATAGCTGGCGGCGCCCGAGGGGAAACTCCTACAGCACGCCAACGTAAAATAAAAAAACGCACATAAGGCGCGAGCCGGAGCGCCGGGGCGGCACAACAACGCTCCCAACAAGCCGTCCTTATATTTTCGCATACTCGCGTGAGGTGGTACAAGGGAATCGTATTTTTCTTGCGTTTTACATTCGCGCGGCCCGGCGCCGCCATCGTATCTCCTCATTTGTTATTCCATTTCGTTCGCGTTTCGGCGACGCGAGCAGCGCTGGATTCCGTCGTGTGTCGTTCATTCTGCTTCTTGTGCGTCGGTTAAAAACTCACATCGCAACAAACACAACATGCTCACAGAGTATTAAAATAGATTACGGTGTAATTCGATGTTTCAATTTGGGAAAAATCGAAGTGATTTTGTTTAAATGAAAATTTCAAAGCAGAATTTCGCATTTTACAACTTATAAAGGATTAATTTTGTTACATCCTGTAGAGCACTTGTACGTTTATGTTTGGTTTAGTTTGAATACCCGAATGTGTTTTGAATGGTTGCTTTTTTTGTGATGTAAATAGGCTGCTGCATGCGTGTGACGTTGGAGATGGCAATGGCAACAAATTCGTTTGCAAATGTTCCAGATAAATGTACTCCTTTTTGCTCACAGCAAGCTAAGAACGGGTTTGTATTATAAATATTTGCCTCGCATAACGCGCAAACTAAAACAAAAAACACAAACGAAGGCAAAGCTCGAAAGCGAAACGACAAGCTTTTAAGACACGGATGACTTTTACTTTTGTTCTCGCGTCGTTTTTCTCTCGCTGCTCGGGGATAGAAGGGAATTTGCGTTTTCGTCCCGATGGCCCGAGAGCACACGCCGTTTTAGACATTCACTACTTGCATGCTTTTTTTTTATTATTATGCATGCTTTTTTTTTATTATTATTATTTTACCCACAAAATAGAACGTTTTATGACCCACAAACAAATAAAATATGTGTGCTCCCCAATTATTTGTTCCTTTGCCTAAGGTTTATTTCACTTAACTCATGATAAATTCCGATAAAAAAATTGCGGTAAAAAAGATATAAAATTACTAGCGAATATTTGTGTTTTTATTGTTTGGTTTATACACTGTTTTAATTTGACTGTTCAATTGATTACCAAAAGCCAGGCAATATTGCAAATTCCAGATTAATCAAACAAAACCGAT